TACATACACACATACAAACATGCATCTTCGCGAGCAACCGACGTCCTGCAGGAACGCCTTTGGCTCGCTGAGAGTGAGTAGCGGCTGAGTAGCGCTTGTTTTGGGCTGGTTGCAGCTGCTGGATGGCTGATCCTTCCGTTAGTCTCTGTGTAACAAGCCTTGTGCGACAGAGGTCAGCCTTGCGAGAAACCGCTGGGGCAGAGGAGGCCAAGCCCTCACTCCACAAGCGCCTCCTCAGCACGCAGCCTGCCAAAGCCACCTCAGTCAGCCGCGCCAGAGGCCAGACAGCAGCAGAGGCCCTTTCATCAAGGAGGCGCCTCCAGCCTCCGCCCGGCGCTGCAGCCGCGGGAGGAGCCCACAGCGCAGCCCGAAGCGCAGGGGCGCACGAGATTGACGACCCTGCTTTCAGAGGGCTTTTCCTATTCCCATGACATTTGCTGCCAGTCTGCCGCAGCTCCCCATCCCGGGTCGCATGTCGCCAAATTGACAGCCGTCAGGACTCTTCGCAGAGAAAGCGTTCCAGTGATCGCGCCTGCAGTGGACGAAGAAGAATGACAGAATGATGCGCCGACAACACACAATGACGTCCCACTCTCTGAGCAATTTCCGACAGTCCCAAAGAGCCTCCTTCAGCTGGGCCACATCCACCCCTAAAGCACGAACCTCCAGTAGAGTCCGCGGAGGCCAGGAAGCGGGTGATGAGGCATGTCGACTGTCTTGAATGTAAACAACGGATTAATCTCATCTGGAGCTCTGACCTTGGCCCTCTCGCAGCGTGAAAGAACGCCAACTCCACGTGCTCGCGAAGAGTCCAGTGTTAGAGAACATCTGGCAGACTAGCCTCTTCCGCACCGAGGCGCTGAACAAAAATGGAGCAGTCGTCTGACTCGAAGATGTCCTTCAGCCTCTCCAAGTCGCCGCTCAGGGCCGCCGAGGCCACCGCAACACAACCAGAAGTCAGAAAAAGATAAGCAGTCGTCGCCCCCAGCCTGAGCGCATACATTCCGGCGCTGAACTGCCAACGCCGGAATTGAAGAAGAAGAAGAAGAAGGCCGCTTCACCGCCGCAGAAGCCCTTAGCGTGGAAAGCAACTCGTCGTCCCCATGAGCCTCCTCGGCCCACCTAAACGCCGACTCCAGCGGCTCGCAGGGAGTGCCGTGAGACGTGTCCGCTCTTCAATCCAGCCAAGCTCGCGCGCAAGGCGATCCAGTCCGGATGACTCGCTGTTGCACGACTCAGATTGGCGCCATGATGCAACCAGAAAGCCAAGCATCTCTCACAC